GATCAATGATACATTTGATCAATGTCTGTTTCTCTCACTAGTTGGCAAACTCCATGAGGCAAGGACCATTACTGCTGTTGTTGTTAGCTGACCACAGATTTCCAGTGCCTAGCACAGGGCCTGGTACCTAGGTGTTCAATAAATATTTGTTGAATAGATGAATATAGATATTAACTACTATTAGACTGAAAGTCTGTCGGAAAAGATAAAGTTGAGGTTTGGCAGTTCCTTCCAACCAAAGATCAATTGGAAAGACAGATAAAACAAAGTTCTGAAATTATGCCAATAAAACAGTAGGAAATGTTATTGATTCATAACTTAAGTCAGATGCAGTTGTCTTCTAAGGAATTTAGGGAAGAAATTAAGGTACTTTTCTCTGTAGCATCCTTCTGGTAAAACTCTGAAAAACATTCCAACTAGGCGTTAAATAGCATGAGGCTCTTGTGCATTACCACCATTTCCCAACAGAATAAAATGGTAATATTTTTTAATATCCTCCAAGAATATTAAAGGCAAAAATGAAAATTTTATGACTGTTTACAATATAATTTTGTATACTGTTTTACCTTTTTTTCTCTAGTTGTTTCTTATATATTTTGTGTCTTCAACTGGACTAAAAGTTCACTAAGGCCCTGCTTTATACCAGTGGTTCTTAATTTTGTCAATATTGTCTCCAGGGGCATTTGACATGTCTGGAGACTTTTGCTTTTCATAATGGGGAGGAGGGGAATGCTACTATCACCTAGTGGGTGGAGACCAGAGATACTGCTAAACATCCTACAATGTGCACGACAGTCTCCTCCCCTCATAAAGCATTATCTGGACCAAAATATCAATAGTGCCAAGGTTGAGAAACTCTGCTTTATACTTCTCTGGAAAAGGAAGGCTCTAAATTAATGGTCTTGGGATATATTTATACTATTATTTAATAATGTATTAAATACATTATATTGTATATAATTATCTATTATAATTAGATAGCAATACAATTTATATGTATTTTTATTATATATAATTACATATACTGTGTGTAAATATACTTTAATTAGTAAACATATATACATTATTAATTAATATACATTAACTATATGTATTAAAGATAACAGGGACTTCCCTGGTGGTCCAGTGGCAAAGAATCTGCCTTAAAATGCAAGGGATGCGAGTTTGATCCCTGGTCAGGGAACTAAGATCCCACATGCTGCGGGGCAACTAAGCCCATGTGCCACAACTACTGAGCTCACGTGCCTTAACTAGAGAGCCCGCTTGCTGCAAACTACAGAGCCCATGTGCCCTGGAGCTCGCGCCACAACTAGAGAAGAGAAACCCCACGTGCCACAACTAGAGAGAAGCCCACACGCTGCATCAAAAGATCTCTCATGCCTCAGCGAAGATCCTGCGTGCTGCAACTAAGACCCGACGCAGCCAAAATAAATAAATAAAATAAATAAATAATAAAGATATATAGTTGAGATCTTGCATTAAGGAATGGCGTTTTTATAAAGATGTGACATAAAATAATTGTTGACTGTTTTTGGAAAGGGAAAAGGGACAAATGGGATATCTATTATTGGCTTTGCTATTTAGAAATTGTTCATTTGAATCATCCCTGCCATATAGTGATTTGAAAAGCATTTCTGGAGCATTAATAGTGACGTTTTCATCTACAGCAAAGGTACAATATGACCTCACCTCTCAAGATTGGGTTAGAGGAGGGCGCCTGACTCAAATTTGGCCAGTGAAAAATTATTTTCCGGTGCTTTAAGATATCCTGTATCCTTAGAACAAATTCTCCTTTTTTGCTTAAACTAGCTTGAGAAAGTTTCTGTTACTTTCAAGCCAAGAGGCTTTAACCAAGAGAACTACTCTAGGAATGACTGTAAAATTCAGGGGAAGGCTGCTATTTTGAAAAACAGTTTAATGGGTCTTCTGGGTACATGAAAGTAAAATTTCATTCTGGAGTGAAGAAGGTCAGAACAATTACGAACAACTGTAATGCACAGTAATGTAAAGGGATGACTTCTCTGTGAGCAAGGCTGCATCTTTTCAGGAGCATGTTAATTCTTGTTTGCTTGTTGTTGTTGGAGAAGGAGAGGTCTTTATTATTTTTTTTTTTTCTTAGAGTTGGAGACAAAAAGATATCAGAGTCTGGGAAAGGCAAGATTGGATAAAGGAGGCTTTTCCCTGGCCAGCTGAGTTGGCCCATGGAACAGAGTGAGTAGAGGATCCCCAATGAAGAAACATGACCAAGGAACTCCAATAGTAGATTATACTATCTAGTTTTAGGATTTTTCTTGCATTGTGCTCAGGTTTCACTGAAAAAACATTTTAACTTAGAAGTCTTGTCTTAACTGTGCTTTGTGAGAATAAGGAAGGAGTTGTGCTCAAGCTTAAGGACAAGGTATTGCTGGCAGTGTGTAGTGGCACAACCACTTTGGAAAGCTCTTTTTTTCTTTTATCTTTTACTGAAGTATACTTGATTTACAACGTTGTGTTACTGCTGTACAGCAAAGTGACTCAGTTATATTGATACACACACACACACACATATATATATATACACATTCTTTTTTTTAAAGAGTATTTTTAAAAATATTTATTTATTTATTATTTATTTATTTTGGCTGTGCTGGGTCTTAGTTGCGGCATGTGGGATCTTTAGTTGCGGCATGCGGGCTTCTTAGTTGCAGCATGTGGACTCTTAGTTGCGGCATGCGTGCAGGATCTAGTTCCCCGACCAGGAGTCAAACCCGGGTCCCCTGCATTGGGAGTGCTGAGTCCTACCCACTGGACCACTAGGGAAGTCCCTATATATGTTCTTTTTCATATTCTTTTCCATTATTTTTTAAAATTTATTAAATTTATTTATTTTGGGCTGCACTGGGTCTTTGTTGCTGCACGTGGGCTTTCTCTAGTTGCGGCGAGCGGGGGCTACTCTTCGTTGTGGTGCACGGACTTCTCATTGTGGTGGCTTCTTTTGTTGCAGAGCACCAGCTCTAGGTAAGTGGGCTCAGTAGTTGTGGCTCTGGGGCTCTAGAGCGCAGGCTCAGTAGTTGTGGCGCATGGACTTAGCTGCTCCGCATCGTGTGGGATCTTCCCAGACCAGGGCTTGAACCTGTATCCCCTGCATTGGCAGGAGGATTCTTAACCACTGCGCCACCAGGGAAGCCCTCCATTATGTTTTATCAGAGGATACTGAATACAGTTCCCTGTGCTATAAAGTAGGACCTTGTTGTTTACCCATTCTATATATACCAGTTTGCATCTGTTAATCCCAAACTCCCATGGAAAGCTCTTTGACTGTGTCTTGTATACCCCCCAAGCCAGCAACTCTACCCTAGAAAAATTCTTGCACATGTGAATCAGGAGACTATTATAAGAATATTCATAGCAATGTACATAACAGTGGGAGGGAGTGCAGAAAGAAAAAAATCTAAATGTTGGAGATAAGAAAATGGATTTATAAATCATGGTATGTTCATATAATAGAACACTACAAAGCAGGGGAAACACAATTACATACAACAGGGATGGATTCTAGAAGCATAATGTTGATTGAAAAGAAGCAGCAGCATAATACAGCATGGAAGTAATTTTATCATTGAAAGACAAGTGAAAATAAACAGTATATTGTCTGGGAATATATATGGTAATTGCATAAAGAAAAGTTGAAATGATTTTTTAAAAATCAGGATAGTGATTACCTTGAGAGGAAGCAGGGAGAAGGTGGGATATGGAAGGAGCACACAGGAAGAATCAATAATACAGGTTGTTTCATAAGTTGGGTGTTACATTCACAGGTGTTCACTTTACTATGTTTGATAACTTACATTAATATATATTCTTTTTTACATATCAGACTTTCTAAAAATGAAAGAATAAAGTAATTGTCAAATTGCTTGACAGTACAGAGTTAAACTTCTACTGGCTGAGATTGCAAAGAATTGTTTTGTTTTGTTTTTTAAGCTCTGGGGGTGGAGGGGTAAAGATGCCCACTTAAACAGCTGTCTTGAACATCTTTGTGAGCTAGGGCGTAATTTCCTCTGTTTTGGGGACATGAATGATTTCTGCCCAGCATTCCGCAGGAACTCTAAAGCAGTGAGTGAAGAAATGGTGAGACCATATGGAGACAGCAGAAGGACAGTTACACTGTTGCAAAAACAGAACAGTGCTTTGTATTCAACAAGTTGCTGTAGCTGGTTTACGTCCTTTTTATATAGTTCTATACAGTTTCCAAAGGTTGCAACATTTTCCCTTCTTAGAAACTGAGGGGAGGGACACTCCCTTTTTCCCTCTGCCTCCTTCCCACCCACCCTGCTTTGGCACCTGTTGTTCCCCATGCTTGGAAGACCCTTCCCTGCTTTGTTGGTCGGCCGACTAGGTACCTCCTTTAAAATTTTAAGTTTAAGGGCTAATGTCTTTTGGAAACTGTCTTCTCTCACTCTCTGATTTCTTATTCCAGCATCATCACAGCTCTGAGATTTCTGGGTAACTCTCTTCGTAAAACTTGCTTCCGGGAGGATAAGATTAGCTTACCCAAGCTAATCTGTGAGGATAGCGCAGTAGGGACAGAGAAGCGGGTTCCTGGGTCAAGCCGAGTTGTTCAAACCCCGACCCACCTATCTCTCTGCGGGTTTGGATTAATCACAGGGCTTCGGGTTCTTCACTTTGATTGAGGAAGACTTTGACTCCAAAAAGTTAATACTCGACATACCCAGCCACCGCTTAGCACCTCCCGGTGTCCTCGCCCTTTCTCCCGGAGCCTCAGGGCTGGACCGAATCATCCTACAAACGTCTCCAGTCTTAATACTGGAGAGGGCCTCATCGCCGCACCTCGCTGGGAGGAGAAAGTCCTCCAAGCGGAAGGAGGGGCCTGATGCTGGGGGCCGAAGAGACCGCCTTGGCGGCACTCTAGCCCGCCGAGGTCACTCAGCTCTTCCCACGTGGGGTTCCTGATTGGCTGAAGGCTGTCGCTCGCACACTCGTTTTCCGTGATGGAGGCGGTCCTAGAAGGAGCACGACTTCCGGCGTAAGCTGTAGTCGTCGCGTGTCCGGTCAGATGGCGGCACCGTTGCTTCACACGCGGTTTCCCGGAGATGCTGCCGCTTCGGCAGCTGCAGTCAAGACGCTGGGCGCGTCGAGGACCGGGTAAGAACCCAGGACGCTTCCTTCTGCGCGTCTGAGACCAAAGCCTAGGACCGGGATTAGGGGAGCGGAGCTGAAGGGTCTGGGACAGAGCTAACGGAGTGGGGTGGGAGCAGAGGGAAGAGGGTCACTTCAGGTCCTCAAGAGTGAGTCCATGCCCCTTAGATGGATAATAAAAGTGGGAGAGGGGATGGAAAAATGAACCTATTCGCTGTTCCATAGTCCCCCCTTACTCCCCACTGTTTCCCTTATAGCATCCCAGGCCTGGGTACTGCATTCTGTTCCTTTACCCTTCCCTCCTGCTTCTTCGACTAGCTTTGGAAGGAGGTCCCTGGGCTATTTGGGTTATTAGCCAAATGCTGCCACTGACGGAAAATTGCGTCTTACGTTTTGCTTGTTTGTTTTTTTAAAATTTGTTTTGACACACGTTTGTTTAACAGTGTTTATATCTAGCTCAGCTTTTAAAGCCCTTAACCCCCGTAAAACACTTCGGGGTTTAACTTTGAGAGTCCTTAGCAGGATGCTATGTTTTTTCACTAATCTGCTCTGTTTAAAAGAAGCAAATTTTCCGGAACACTTGGCTCCATCATTCCAGTTGTGCTCAAACTCACTTCCACCTGAGGCCACTCATTCGACTTTTTACGCGGGCCTCTCACCGCCGTGGCCTCTCCCGCCGCGGAGCACAGGCTCCGGACGCGGAGGCTCAGCGGCCATGGCTCACGGGCCCAGCCGCTCCGCGGCATGTGGGATCTTCCCGGACCAGGGCACGAACCCGTGTCCCCTGCATCATCGGCAGGCGAACTCTCAACCACTGCGCCACCAGGGAAGCCCGTATAATATATTTTTTTAAGTGCCTACTTTTGGCGTTAGGCATGGGGGACGGTATATCAAAAGAGGCAGTGTCCTTGGTCTTAACAGACCTTCAGTCTAAGGAGGGAAAGACAGTAGATAAGTAAACGATGATTTCAGGTAGCGGTAACTACTGTGAAGAAATAAAACAGTGTGATGGTAGGGGAGAGGGAGAGGATGGGTACTTTCGATTTCTGATGGGGAAGGTCTCTGACATTTGAGTTTCAACTTGAATGAAGACAAGGGTCCAACCACATACACATCTGGAGAGTGAGTGTTTCTGACAGAGGGAATAATGAGTAAAATGGGAATCTGCTTGGCAGGTTTGAAGAACAGAAAGGACCCTGGCTGCAGTACGGTAAGTGGTTAGAGGTGAGGTCAGAGAGGTAGGCAGGGGCCAGATTAATGTAGGACCTTGAAGACCATAAAGAGTAGGAAACCTTTGGAGAATTTAGGCAAGAGAGTAGAGTAGCATGATCTGTCTTAAGTTTTTGAAAGATCATTAGATCACTGAATGAAGAGTGAATTGCTGGGGGACTCAAGTGGAAGGAGGGAGGCCAGTTAGGAGGCTTTAGCAGTAGTCCCACTGAATGATGTTGGTTCAATAAGTGTTGGCTGTTATAGCTTTTATTTTTTCCCTGTCATGCACTTAATGGCTTGATGATCTTGGTTCTATAGGCTTTCAGATATACTTGCACTAGAAAATGATTTCTTCAATTCTCCCCCAAGAAAAACTGTTCGGTTTGGTGGAACTGTGACAGAAGTGTTGCTGAAGTACAGAAAGGTAAGAGGTGATAATGTGAGGTTGGTGGGGTTTTTTCCCAGCTTTATTGAAATATAATTGATATATTGAGGTTTGATTTTTGCTAGTCAGAATACAATTATAGCTGTTATACTAAAAACCAGTAGATAAATAAAATGGATTTTAGATATCTATATTGAAATCAAATAAATTTAACAACAGCACGGTGCTGTCAGTTCAAAATTAGAGCAGTAACCCCTTTACTGAGGTTTCACATCTTCAAGTGCTTTATTTACCTAGTGTCTTTTAAAATCTTTTGCAAGTAGTAGAATAAAAAACCATTAGATCAAAGCATTTTATTTCTTTTTTTAAAAATAAGTTTATTTATTTTATTTATTTATTTTTGACTGTGTCGGGTCTTTGTTGCTGTGCATGGGTTTTCTCTAGTTGCGGCGAGCGGGGTCTATTCTTCATTGCAGTATGCGGGCTTCTCATTGTGGTGGCTTCTCTTGTTGCAGAGCATGACTCTAGGTGCACGAGCTTCAGTAGTTGTGGCACGTGGGCTCAGTAGTTGTGGCTTGTGGGCTCTAGAGCACAGGCTCAGTAGTTGTGGCGCACAACTATGTTGTGGCTTAGTTGTTCCTCTGCATGTGGGATCTTCCCAGACCAGGGATTGAACCTGTGTCCCCTGCATTGGCAGGCGGATGCCTAACCACTGCGCCACCAGGGAAGTCCCGCATTTTATTTCTCAAGGAATTACCAAAGCATTGCTTTGGGACAATAAGCCAGCTCTATTAATGGGGATTTTTTTTTTTTGGCTTTGTTTTTATGTTAATTTAGAAGTGATTCTGCTATATCTCAGCAATGGTGGGAAAATATGCATTACTGTCTATTTTTATATGTAACCTGCATTTATATCCATATATATGATTGGATAGTATCATGGAATGTTGACTATCATATTCAAATGTCAGTACACAAGTATAGCTAAATATGAATGGCCTGTTGTCATTTTCTTATTTACAAGCCCCCTAGCTACACTAACATGAGTTTTAAAATTTTCGTAGTCAGGATTTTATAATCTGCAACTGATGTGTATGTTACAATGTTCTTTTTGTAAAAGTTAAAAATCCTGCTGTTGGTCTTTGACTGGAAACCCAAGCAAGGAAAAATTCATTTTTTTTCCCCCCTTCTTGTTAAGGGGGAAACAAATGACTTTGAGTTGTTGAAGAACCAGCTGTCAGATCCAGAGATAAAGGTAATTAATTTTGTGTTTGATTATTAGCAAAGTTGTTGCCACTTTGTAGAGACATTGGTTTGCACTTGTGGTCCTATTCCATTCTCTAGAACTTGCTCTATGATCCTTCTTTAATTGTTCTCAACCAGGGGCACTTTTGCCCCTGAGGTAATTTGGTGATGAACTGGAGACTTTTTTTTTTTTTTTTTTTTTCCGGTACGTGGGCCTCTCACTGTTGTGGCCTCTCCCATTGCGGAGCACAGGCTCCGGACGCGCAGGCCCAGCAGCCATGGCCCACGGGCCCAGCCGCTCCGCGGCACGTGGGACCCTCCCGGACCGGGGCACGAACCCGTGTCCCCTGCATCGGCAGGCGGACTCTCAACCACTGCGCCACCAGGGAAGCCCATGGAGACATTTTTGATTGCCACAACTGGGAGGAGGGAAGAGTGCTACTGGCATCTAGTGAGTGGATGATAGGGATGCTGCTAAACATCCTACAGTACACGTGGCAGCCCTTCATAGCAGTGAATGATCTGGCCCCAAATGCCAGTAGTCCTGAGGTTGAGAAACCCTGCTTTAATTTTTCCTTTTTAGAACCTTCCTTCTATGCTGCATGCAACTCTCATGTCTCTTCAGTTCTAAAACAACAAAACAAAACAAAGAAACAACAGAAAATGGCTTGTCTTTCAAACTACTACTCTTTCAGTATGTTTGGAAATGGTTCAAGGTATATACCTGTCATGTAGTAACAACTCAGTAAATGTTATTTCCCTTTTTTCTTCCTTTATTGCCCAATTTTGGAAAGAATAGTCTATTACTGTGGGCAGTGGTAGTCAAATTGCCTGGCATTAAAATCCCAACTCCATTGTTTCCCAGTGTGTGATATTGGGCATGTTGTTTAACCTCTTTGCCTCTGTTTTCCTCCTTGTAAAACCAGAGAAATGAGAGAAGTACTTTAAATGTAGCTGTTTTAAGAGGATCCATTGAGTTAATATACAAGAAGCGTTTAGAACAGCCTCTGACTCAGAGGACTTTGTAATTGTTAGTTGTTGTTCCTGTTGACAGTCTGCATTTTCTCATTTCTCATTCATGTTTAAATCCACTGTTAAGTCCACTGCTGTATTTACTATGACAGAAGTTACCAGTGATTTCTTATGTGTTGATTTCAGTGTACTTCTTTTTTTTTTTTTTTTTAAAGCCCCACAGTAATTCCTTGTAGCAATTTATACAGTTGACTACCCATTTCTTAAAACCTTTCCTTCAAGACTTCCCTGATGGTCCAGTGGTTAAGACTTAGCGCTTCCACTGCAGAGGGTGCAGGTTTGATCCCTGGTTGGGGAACTGAGATCCCGCATGCTGCGTGGCGAGGCCAAAAAATAAAGTAAAATGAAAAAACAAAACAAAAAAACCCCTTTCCTTCGGTTTCTTTGATCTTCCTGTCTTCTTATCACTTATCTCTAATCATTTTCTTGACAGGTTCTCCTTGAATTTGGCATTGATTGGATTTCCAAACTTAACCCTTTCCTCACTTTACAGATTCATCCTGTGTGTTTTCCTTATGCCCTCATGGCTTTGAAATTTATCTGTGTCCTGATAACTTCCAGATTTGCATCTATAGCTCAGATTGCTCTTGTGGGCTCCAGACCTGTTTCTTTCTTTTTTTTTTAAATCTTAAAATTTTTATTTAATTTAATTTATTTTTTATCGAAGTATAGTTGAATTACAATGCTGTACAGATGTCTTAACTGCCAGCCCACAGGTGTTACAAGTGCCCTGAACTTAGCATTCTCTCTCTCCCAAACCCACGTCTGCAGCTTTCTTTATGTGCTTAAATGATTTATTGCTTATCTCTGTCTCAGCCTAAGTCATCTCTAAAGCACATTCTAAACATGTCATTGCCCTACTTCATGCCCACTGAAGAATAAAGGACCAGCTTCTTAGCATGGTCTGCAACAAATTTTCAGTGTTCAGTCCCACTAGATACTTTATTTCTTAAATTTGCCATTTCTGTTCATCTTTAGGGCTTTGCATGTGCCTTTTTTTTTCTGGCTATAAGAGGTCCTCTGTATCTACTTTGTTTGCTACCTATTTGAGCATGGGCTCTGGTTACATAGCCTCCCTCCCTTACTGGCTTTGTGACTGAGGGCAAGTTACTGCATTTCAGTGCCTCAGTATCCCCAGCTATAAAATGGGAACCAATGGTAGTACCTATCTCATGGAGCGGTTGTAAGGATTAAATGAGTTAATATATGTTAAAGTCTTAGAATAATGCCTTGCACATAGTTAGTCTTATATTAGTGTTTATTATTATTATTACTGTAATTATAAAACTCCTACTCTTTGAGATCCAACTGCAATATCATCTTCACCAGTGAACTTTCTCAGGTTCTGTCTAAGCACATGGTTCATTCAGTCCATACCCTACACTGCCAGCAGATCTTTCTAATTGTAAATTTGGCTTACAAGGACTTCACTGATTTGTCTGGCCCCTCTTTGCTCCCCAGATTTATCTGTTGGCTTGCTTGCTCACGATATAGTCCAGCCATACTGAACTACTTTTGGTTTTCTGAAGACATGCTTTTACATCTGTAAAGTATAGAGCCCCCAAGAATACTCACTCTGTTTAAAGACAATGGAAGCATCACTTCTTTAGAGCTTTCTTTAAAGACCTGTGCATTCTTCCACAGGTACGAAGAACCACATTCTTTGTGTTCTGCTGTATTTTATATCAGCATGTCTCCTTGGGATTTTGACAGACCAAGAATCACATCATTTGTCCACATTAGTTCAGAGGAGTGTTAAAATAATTTGTCTTTAATAATAGTTCAGTACTAAAGCACCAAAGTCTCTGACTGGTTTACTTTAAAAACTGGAGCAGTTTAAATGTTGTCCTTATAATTTTGTTGTACTTGTTTTAGTGGGAAAGTGACAGAATAGAGCCAACTTATTTTTATTTGTGTGTAACTTAGCTTGTCACCTCTGTTTCAGGCCTTGTTATCCTTAATGACTGTGGACATTATGAAGTTACTGTAGTGCAAATGAGTTGCGACTTACTTTATTTTATTACCAGGTTACTAAGGGTTCATCAGTAAATAGTCAGTGTCACTGAGGTTTGTCACATAGATAATGCATAGGAAGCACTCACTGGTGAACCGGTGGGGAAAACGTGGGGAGCTTCTTCATGTGGGGCAAGGCATTGTGGGAAAGTGGGCAGAGCGCTGATCTAGGTGGACAGGTTTTTTTTTTTTTAAACATCCTATTGGAGTATAATTGCTTTACAATGGTGTGTTAGTTTCTGCTTTATAACAAAGTGAATCATCTATACATATACATACATCCCCATATCTCCTCCCTCTTGCGTCTCCCTCCCATCCTCCCTATCCCACCTCTCTAGGTGATCACAAAGCACTGAGCTGATCTCCTTGTGCTATGCGGCTGCTTCCCACTAGCTATCTGTTTTATATTTGATAGTGTATATATGTCCATGCCACTCTCTCACTTCGTCCCAGCTTACCCTTTCCCCCTCCCCGTATCCTCAAGTCCATTCTCTACGTCTGCGTCTTTATTCCTGTAGGCGGTCAGGTTTGAACCTAGTTTTTTACTGGTTTGGTTGGGCAAATTGCTTATTAATCTTTCTTAGGCTCAGTTGCCTCAACTGTAAAATGGGAATAATAGTAATCCATTTGCAGCATTGTTAGGATTTGGAAAAGGTATATATGTATGGTGTTGAGCACCATGCCTGGCACATGGTGTGTTCTCACTAAATGACACTCCCTATAAGTAGTCTGTTGCTGTAGGTCCAGCCCTGTCTGCTAATAGTTTATCACTGCAGGTTCAACACTGTCTGTTTGTAGTCTGTTGCTAAAGGTGCAACACCATATGTCTCTTTCCCCTACTGAGTCTTAGTCAGCATTAACCATTTTCTTTCAAAAATTAGGGCCTTTTTTTTTTTTCTTTTTTGGCTGTGCTGCCCAGCTTGCGGGTTCTTAGTTCCCCAACCAGGGATTGAATCCGTGCCCTCAGCAGTGAAAGCCACTGGACCACCAGGGAATTCCCCAAAATTAGGGGCTTTAATTTTTTTCTTGTGTATGCTGTATATATGCATGAATACAAACAGTATCTTTATTAAATATAACTGATATCTTATTCTCTACATGGCTTTTTTGTATTGCTATTTAGGTTTTCCCATGTCACTAAAAGTATTATGAATAGTAATTTTATTGTCTGAAAAATATTTAATGGAGTAGTGGAACCATCATTTATATAGAACACATTTTAATTCATTTAAACCCATTTGAAGGTTGGGTTAAGAAAAAGTTACATTTATTGATGACTCTAGTTAATCAGCTTCGATGAATGTTGTCAACATGCTTGCAGGTCAGCATGAGTATAGAGGAAGTAGAGGTACCTGTTGGTCCTTGTGGTCTTAGAATATTTGAATCTGTTACAATTCTTTAGTTTAAAGAAGTCCCAGGTGTCAGCATTTGATATGTTCTCACTTTTCTAGGGCAAACAGAAATGATTAGAATTAAGTATTGCATTTGATTCTTTTTCCTGTATATCAGTTATTATATTACTTTTAAAAAAGGAAAATTTATTGTAACATCTTTTTCCATTTTGATACAAACTAAGAAATTTTCATCCCAACTTTGGCTTAAGTCCAAGTTTGTGACTTTTTTTTCCCCCTCAATTTAATTTTTTTTTTTTTTTGATGTGGACGGTTTTTTCATTAAGTCTTTATTGAATTTGTTACAATGTTGCTTCTGTTTTATGTTTTGGTTTTTTGGCCATGAACAATGTGGGATCTTAGCTCCCTGACTAGGGATTGAACCCGAACCCACACTTCCTGCATCGTAAGGTAAAGTCTTAACTACTGGACCACCAGGAAAGTCCCTAAATATTGTTGATAGATGATCAATGCCAGATAGATATCATTTCTCTGTTATTTGAGAGAATTTGTGATTTTGAACGTACTTTTCTTTGTTTAACTTAAGGATGACCAGATCATTAACTGGCTGCTGGAATTCCGTTCCTCCATCATGTACTTGACAAAAGACTTTGAGCAGCTTATTAATATTCTGTTGGTAAGTTCGCCATTTATTTCATCAACTATTATATGTGATTCAGTACTTCGAAAATAGTATATATTGTATCAGTAAAATGTTCCTTTTGTTTTTCTCCCTCTCCCACCTCTAGAGGTTACGGTGGTTAAATAGAAGTCAGACAGTGGTGGAGGAGTATTTAGCTTTCCTTGGTAATCTTGTATCAGCACAGACTGTCTTCCTTAGACCATGTCTCAGCATGATTGCTTCTCATTTTGTACCTCGTAAGTGGCTGCTCTTTGCTTGTTTTGATTTTTATTTTTTTAAATATCTCTATTAAAAAGTTACCTTCCCACTATATTTTGGAGATTATGCCACCATGGAAGATTCCAGGATGCTTATTGGCAGCAGTTCTGGTACATGTCTGTCCCCTATAATGTCCTCTGTGGAAGTGTCTAGATTCATTTGTTGCTGTGATTTTTATGGATTGTAATTTGCTTCAGTGAGCTTCTGACGAAGTCTTGGAACTCAGGGATTTTTAGCTACTTAAACCTCCTGCCCCCATTGTAAATTTTATTGTATTAAGTTTGGACAATGGAAAAATCGCTTTTTTATGTAGCTGTTGATTGTTTAGATCAATATTAGAAGAATAACATATTTCGTTTTTTCTTCAAAAGCCCGAGTGGTCACTAAGGAAGGTGACATAGATGTTTCGGATTCTGATGACGAAGATGATAGTAAGTATAAAGAGGATTAAAGCAAACACTGCCTCCTGTATCTTAGTGAATGCATGCTGAATGCTAAAGTATCCTGGCACCTCCAGGACTTAATCTAATATGTAGACTGCAACAAAAGGCAACCTTCGATGGAATCGTTTTGTTATATTTAATGTTAATGTGCAATCAATTGCCCTTAATGGCATTATTTATAGTCTTCATTGATAGTCGGTCATGGAGAAAACACTTGAAATTATTATTTTGCTGACAAATGATTCAGTTTTGGTTAGCAGGCATTTTTAGACTTAGGTAGATAACTGTTCAGTTTTATCTTGATGCTCATACTCTCCCTTTTCACCTTGTAGATCTTCCTGCAAATTTTGACACATGTCACAGAGCCTTACAAATAATAGCAAGATATGTCCCATCGTGAGTATACTTTGGTTACTTATTTTGAATTGTGGTGTTTAAGTCTCAAGAAAATTATGATTGGTTAGTAGAAAATTGTAAGATGTTCATAGCATCAAAACTGAAGTTGTATGCTGCATATTTTTTGTATCCTGTTGGTATCAGATCACATTCTACAAAAAAATGGCATTTCAGTTCCCTATTCATTGTCTTTAACTATTTTTCAAAACTTGTATGCAAATTCTCCCCTCCAGCTTTTTATGGTGGTTGGAATTTTGCTTTTATCTTCAACAGACACGATATCCAAAACTTTTTAGTGAGAAGCCCCTGTGTTTGTGCCATGCCATATGAATAAAAATTAGTTCTAAGAAAATCTTTTAAGGTGTGTAGGTTTCTTTTGGAGGGGTGAACTTCAAATTCCCCCAGTAAGTTTAGCAAATAAGCTAACTTTAAAAAGTCCAAGTTGATAATTTTTTCTCCTTTTTAAAATAATGTATGTGTGCAGTGGGAAGTGTTTAGATTTTAAACTGAAGCTCTTCATTAAACTTTTGTGGAAAAAAGGATCCCCCTTTAATTTGCTGTTATATCAAACTGAATAGAAGCTTATTTTTCCCTAAGTTGTTACCAATTTTCTCTGAAGCCATGCATTTATTTTCAGTTCCAATTGCTTGAAGTAGGAGTTACTGTTTGCCTCCTGTATCTATATTTGCTCTTAGAATGGAAATGTTAGCCTTCCAAGAAAGTCCAGTTAACATGGATTGGTTGCATGTTTTTTCTTTTTAAAATAGAACACCATGGTTTCTTATGCCGATACTGGTGGAAAAATTTCCGTTTGTTCGAAAATCAGAGAGAACATTGGTAAGAAATCTTTTCATGGGGGAAACTAATGGAAAAGTTGTTTTTTGTTATGTAGTTTTAGCTGAGTTTAGGTCTTTTTCTTAAAAGTTGTTTTGTCTGCTGAATTTTAAACTCAAGGCTAAGAATTAGACTCAGATTCCTTTCTTAGCAAGCGACTGACTGAGGGTTCTCAGTGCCTTTTCTCTTATTCCTACATGCAAGTCAAAGGCAGAGTCCATTTCAGAAATATCTGAATAGGCTTAATGATTACACAGATGGGAATTACTAGAAGATAGTAGTTTATTTAATACCAATTATAAACATGCTTTATTTGAACATGAAGGCAGAGCCTTCTGTAGATGAAGTCTTAAGTTTTTTGTGTCATATTTAGATCATCTGCCTAACTTTCAATAGTGGTTCCCTTTTAAGCATAGATTATTTTTTCCTAAATAATGTATTACAGGTATTAAATAAGGAGTTAATAACTTTTGCTGCTATTTGTGATGGTGTGCTTCAAGTGGAGTATTACAAATTCTGTATCTCTTATGAACATAGTTGCAAAAATTCTCAACAAAATACTAGAAAATTGAACCTAACAACATATGAAAGGAATTATGCACCATGATCAAATGAAATTTATCCTAGGAATGCAAGGTTGATTTAATACCCCAAAACCAATTAGTATACTATATCAGAATAAATGATAAATACCACATGGTCATCTCAATAGATGGAAAAACACCAAAACCCTTTTATGACAAAAATAGAAGGGAACTTTCTCAACCTGATAAAAGGCATCTATGAAAAATTCACAACTAACTTGATACTCAATAGTGAAAGACTGAAGGCTTTCCCCTAAGATAAGGAACAAAACAAGGATGTCCACTTTTGCCATTTCTGGTCAGTATTATTCTAGAGGATCTAGCCAGGTGAGTTAGGCAACACAAAGAAAAAGGCATCCAGGTTGGAAAGGAAGAAGTAAAGCTCTCTATTTGCAGATGACATGATCTTACATATAGAAAAATCCTAAGGAATCCACAAAAACAGTAGAGGTAATAAATGAGTTCAGTATAGTCACAGGGTATAAGATTAATGTATAAAAACTTATTGTACAGGACAGTGGGGAAAAGAATAGTCTTTTCAACAGTTGGTTCTGGGACAAGAGTATGTTCACATGCAAAGAATGAAATAGGACTTATTACACTGTATACAAAATTGAACTCAAAGTGGATAAAACTCTTAGAAAATAGGTGAAAATATTTGTGACCTTGGATTAGACAACCATTTCTAGATATACCACAAGCAGCTGTAGAAGAAGTAGTTAAATTGGATTTCATCAAAATTAAAAACTGTTGTACTTCATAGGACACCTTTAAGAAAATGAAAAGACGACTTAAAATGGGGAAATACTTGCAAATCATGTATCGTATAAAGGCCTTGTATCTAGAGTATATAAATAACCCTTACTGACTCAATAATGAAAAGTCATATAACCCAATTTAAAAATGGACAAAGGGTCTGAATAGGTATTTCTCCAAAATAGTCACACAAATGGCTAATGAGCACATGAGAAACTCAACATCATTAGCCATTAGGGAAATGCAAGTCAAAAACCATGAGATATTGTTTCTTACCAACTAGGATGGCTGTACTCAAAAAGATACATAATAGCACGTGTTGGCAAGGATGTGGAGAAACCAGAACCCCCCTACCCTGCTGGTGGGAATGTAAAATGGTAAATGGTGCAGCTACTTTGGAAAACAGTCTTACAGTTCCTCAAAAAGGTTAAATGTAGAATTGCCATATGACCTAGCATTTCTGCTGCTAAGTATATACCCAAGAGAAATAAAAATATATGTCCACCTGAAAACTTTTACATGAATGTTCAAGGCAGCCTTTGTTCATAGTAGCCAAAATGTGGAAACCAAATGTTTAGCAGCTTATGAATAAACAGAATGTGCTATGTCTATACATTGGAATATTATTCAGCAATAAAAAAGAACAGTTTACTTGCTACAACATGAATGGACCTTGAAAACATTATGCTAAAACACCACATGTTGTAAGATTCCACTTATATGGAATGTCTACACTAGGCAAATTCATAGAGAAAGAAAGTAGACCAGTGGTTACCTAGGGCTGAGAGGAGGTACATTATTAGAAGATACAAGGTTTTTTAGGGTGATGAAAATGTTCTAAAATTGATTATGGTGATGGTTACACAACTCTGAATATACTAAAAACTATTGAATTGTACACTTTATAAGTAGGTGAACTTTATATGAATTATATCTCAACAAACCTTTAAAAACACTGTAGAAGTATACAAATCACAAACTTAATTTACTGGGGGTAATTAAATTATACTAATATTGTGTATATAAACTGTTGTTTCTATGTTGCTTGATAGTCTTTTCTGTTTGAATAGTTGAAACTAAAGATTGTGTAATGTTTTGCTTGCATAATTATGAAACATTTATTCTCTGTTGAAATGTTCATCTTTTTATGTTTTAGGAGTGTTATGTTCATAACTTACTAAGGATTAGTGTGTATTTTCCGACCTTGAGACATGAAATTCTGGAGCTTGTTACTGAAAAGCTGCTCAAGTTGGATGTAAGTATTGGGTAATCTGTTTTTCCCTTTGATTTTTATTTATTAAATAATGTTATAGTATTTGTTATAATCATAATATTTGAAACAGTAGTAGCAACAATGGAAAAAAATCCACAGTTCCACCTTTGATTCATTTCTTTGAACATTTCTTGAACATTTCTTTGAGCATTGATGTGCTGGTGTTTATAGACAGTCCCATCTCATGGTTGGGGAACAAGGCATTAATTAAATAGTCACATAAATGGAAAAGTACAGTTGTGGTAAATGCTGTGAATGGAACACATGCGTTATGAGCTAGAAAACCTGATGTAGTCAGAAGAAGTTGGAAATGCATACCTAAGGAAGTTATTTTGGGATTCTTTATACTTTTTTTAAAGAGGCTTGCAATAAGCTGCAGTGGGAATGAGAAAGTGATGGATTCTCGTGACATGGGGAGGAAAGGTCCTTGAGACTGTATTGGTAGTAGGGGAGTAGAAGGTAAGGGAAAGGAACCCTTCAAAGGTAGCTCCCTGTGGAATGAAAGTTTGGTGTTGCGGTAACAGTAATAAGAAACGTTAGGAGGAAGTTGCAGGTTGATGAGTTCCATTTTGGATGGATTGAGGTGCAGGTGGGGAGCTAGATGGAGAATATTCACCAAGCAGTTGTAGCTGCAGGTAGGGAACTGATAATGAGGCCAAGAGGAGAGAGGAAGTGAGATCGGAAATGAGAGGAAAACCAAGAGTCTGGATACCCAGGGAGGATCTGGAGGGAGGAAGGCTTTTTTTTTAAATATTATATTTATTTATTTATCATCACTTATTTATTTATTTTTGCCTGCGTCGCCCCTTAGTTGGCAGCATGCGGGATCTTTGTTGCGGCATGCGGGATCTTTTGTTGTGACGCATGGACTTCTCTCTAGTTGTGGTGTGCAGATTTTCTCTCTTTAGTTGTGGTGTGCAGGTTTTCTCTCTCTAGGGATGTACAAGTGTTCTCTATATAGTTGTGGCGCACGGTTCCAGAGTGCGTGGGCTCTGTAGTTTGCAGAATGCAGGCTCTCTAGTTGTGGCGCACAGGCTCAGTTGCCCCGTGGCATGTGGGATCTTAGTTCCCTGACCAGAGATCGAACCCACGTCCCCTGCATTGGAAGGCAGATTCTTTACCATTGGACCACCAGGGAAGTCTCCTATTGCTGAACTTTTTAAGGAGGATGAGAAAAGCAAAGTCCTTGGTTTTCATGTTTAGGATGTAGTCTGTTGCTGGAGAGAGCATGGATGGTTAGGAAGTGGGGCTGCTAGAGACCTGGTGAGGGTTTGTGGTGTAAAGAGGGGATGAGGCGGGGTGAGAGACATATTTCAGGGTTGGGGAGACTTGAGGTTTGTGGACTAAGGAAATAGGAGTTGATGGGAAGAACATTGATTCTGTAGGAGGTCTAGGAAGGGCTGGAGGTTGGGTGGGCTGGCACATTGCTCACTTGGAGTTAAACCTCTCTGGTCAACTGCATAAATATATGCTTATGGAACATTTTAGAGTATATTTAGTAAGAAGGTCATTATAGACAGTTGAAAAGGCATGATTTGAGTGGTATGTTAAACAAGATATCTGAAGGGTTATATAGCCAAATAAATATTGATTAATTCAAATTGATTGCATTTAATAATTTTCTCCTCAGTTGATGATATGCTTCTTATACACCATGTTTGTGTCTTGTGCATAGTTAGAGTTGGAATAAACGTTGAGTTTGTTGAAGCTATCTGTTTTAGACCAACATAGCACAGTTCATATTAATTTTATGTACATATGTAGTACAGGGAGCTTAATTTATAATCTTGTAAACTTCTGCATGACCCAGACCCATTTATAGGTTTGCATTGTGATTGTTTATTGAGTTACAGTGCTATATAGGGTGCTAATATGGACATCTTTAAAGCATGTGTATCAGATGAATTTCAAGTCCCTGAATAATGTAGTTATATTTTAAATGCTTTTATTCTTTTTTTTTTTCTTTGTTGTAATGTAGGTGAATGCATCCCGGCAGGATATTGAAGATGCTGAGGAAACAGCAACTCAGACTAGTAGTGGAACAGATGCCACAGAAGGGCTCTTTAATATGGTCAGCATTTATTAATGAAATCAGACATACGCAGTTCACAGTCCCAGAGGGTGGGAAGAAACAGCTAATGGCTTCTCACCTTTTTCAAGGCTTTGAATTAAAACAGTAGTTCAGCAAACTTGAAAATGATTTTTTAAATGAATAGTTTGCTTTTTTGTTGCTTATTGACTAGTAGAGCTTATTTCCAAGGCTTTGGATTTGGGTTTGGTGAAGTATGTTTCATTTTTATTCTTCTGTTTGTTCTTTGTTTTTGTAAACCACATATAGTTTGTGAAAGAGTGATAAATGGAAAAGCATACCAATGTAACTTCTGTGTTTTACAAATTGTATACCTTAATGCAGTGCTTCTCTACCTGGGGCAGTGTCTTCGGTTGGGTTCACCGGGAGGAGAGCCTGAGATGGGGATTCAGGTGCCCTTGGAACAAAGGGTGTGAGGAAGCTGAAAAAGGCAGGGGAAGGAACTAAGTGAGAGTTCGGTCTCAGTTGGAAAGTAGCTACAGCCTGATCCCCCGCAGAAGCTCTGGAGCATGAGTTGCAGGATAGAGTTAGTCCTACCTTGAGACCAGAGAGATGGCCTCCTGTGACCTCATGTCAGTCAGTTCTGATGGGGAGGGAATAGGAGCAGCAAGGGCATTTCTCTGGAGAAGGGGGGCAGCTGTGAGCTGTCTGCAGCCAATACTCATAGCGGCTTGGGGATGGGCGCCGTGTCCTGGGAAAGGAAACCTGGCACCAACAGTGGGTGCCAGGAGCTGGGGGAAATCTGTGATGTTTGCATGGCCACACTGTAAATGGGTGTCTAAATGAGAATCAGAGGCTGAATCTGTGCTTTCATTTTGAATTCCACGGGTGGTTCTGATTCACACCTCTGGTTGAGAGCCCCTGCCTGGAAAGGTCTTTGTGTATTTTCTTTTATCTTTTAAAGGAAACAATTACCTCAGAATTTTCTCACTAAACTACTTTTACTGAGGCTTTTAATGTTAGTTTTTACTTTACTTTCAAAGGATGAAGATGAAGAAACTGACCATGAAACAAAGGCCGATCCAGGAATGCTTGATCAGATGGTCCATCCTGTAGCTGAACGCCTGGACATCCTCCTGTCTTTACTTTTGTCCTACATTAAGGATGTCTGCTATGTAGATGGTAACAACCTGTAGTAGTCACAGTAACCTCTGCTTTGTTGAACACCTACAATGCCTTGTGCTGGGTATTTTTCATACTTTAGTACTGATAGAAATCCTGTCAGAAAATCACTGTTTTGAGTATGAGGAACAGAAGGTTTAGAGAGATTGTTACTTGCCAACCTGACATAGCTTGAGAATAGTGGGACTGGGATTCAGGCTTAGTTATGTTTGTCTTCAAAACCCTTGATGATATTTTCACCGATTACTGTATTGAAAGCTTAAATATGGTGTTTGGACAGTTTTAGGCGGACCTCAAGTTCAAGACATTTAAGAAATGGTATAGTAGACTTTGATACATGGTACTTGGTGTTCCGTATTGAATTTAGAGAGTCTAGGTACTTTGGTTTTGCCAGGTGTTTGTACTGTAGTGAACAAATTGATATGCTTCTTGCCCTTATAGAAATTTTAGTCTAGAGGCTTTGCCTAATAATAGGACTGCCATTCAGTCCTATTATTAGGACTTGAATCTGAATTAATATGTTACTACTCTAACTTTTTTGCTGTTATAAAAATAATACATATTGATTAGAGAAAATTTGGAGAATACAGGGAAGGATTTACAAAGTTTATACAGCCACATTCTTACTATTTGGAGAACCATTATTAGCATTTTTTTTTCTTTTCTGTTTGTGTGGGTATATGTGTTTTTCTCAGTGGATTTGGGGATCGCACTATATGTAGTATTTTATAATCTTCCCTTTTCACCTCTTGTGAACATTTTCTCATACCATTCACTGTTCTTCTAAAATAGTTATATGGATTTAACTGGTTTCTTTTTTTTCTCCCCCTGCTTTTTTTGCCATTATAAATAACAGTATAATGAACATCCTTGTATATATATTGTCAATTATTTGCTTGTGATAAATTTCTAGCAGTATAATTACTGGATCAGAGGGCTTCTGCTTCTAAATGGCAGTTTTACAATGTGTGGCATCACAGTAGTGTGTATGAGATGAGAGCCTGCTTCCTTGCTAGTGCTGGTTTATTGTAATTAAAAAGAGAACTGTACAAAATAAAGATGGCATTCCCCCCACCCCTCCGTAGCTTAATAGATGATGTATGTCTTAATGGTGTTGTTTGCTTTTTACAAATTTGGTAAATGAAACTGGTAGCTTGAAAATAATGTCTTTATAAAACTGAAATGCCAAATTTTCTTCGTAGGTAAGATTGATAACAACAAAACAAAGGATTTATATCGAGATCTCATAACCATCTTTGACAAACTCCTGTTGCCCACCCATGCCTCTTGCCATGTGCAGTTTTTCATGTTTTACCTCTGTAGCTTTAAATTGGTGAGTATGTCATTCACATTATTGTAGCTTATTTTATTCTTTCCCAGAATTTCCCCTTAAAAAATGGGGGGTGGAGGGAGGTGTGGAATAGAGACCATGAGGTATTTCTTTGTCTTGAGCTCATTTTACTTAGTGCCCCTGATGAAATAACAAGCCCTTTTCAACCCGTGGAAAGAGCAGAGGGCATTGCTGCTGCCTGTCATCTTAAGCTGAGTGCTCTGAAAATGTCATCCTGCATTTGGTCCACTAGGTGGTGCCCTTCCCTTTAATTCAAGCTTTTATTAAAATCTCATAAGGGATATTTAACTGTTTATTTTCTTTATTCTCTTTCAGTTGATCTTAACTAGCCCAAACTAAATTTTTAATCTAGGATTTAAAAATTTTAGACTTTGTTTTTCTATTTTGAGAACAAAGCAAAACAAAAGAACACAGGACTGTTCTTTGCAACTATTTTGTAGCTTCTTAGAATAGTCCAGGAGAGTACTGATCATGGATAGAAAGGTTAAACTCAATCTGCCCCAAAGCATGTGTTAGTGGCTTTTGAAAAGAGCTATTTGGGAGAAGTTGGAGGTTGCATCCTTTGTTGAAAAGAAGCAAATTGGTCTGTTTTTTTCCAAAAGAAGCTCTTCTCAGTGGTTAA